ATATATATTTATAATAAATAGGAACTCTAGGAAATATTGTAACTGATTGCTCACAGAAACAAAATTAAAAGAAAATATGATCAGAAGTGACACTTTGTTTTTTATTGGTAAAAACAGTGGGTAAAAGAACAAAGGTGTTATTATAACAATGGTCGTTTGCTCAATTTTTTAATACTTATGCATTAGCATTATGAGTGGTCTTCAGTCCAAACAGCCAAATATTAAATTCATTGACTTTCTGGATTTTCTGTTACTGATCAGATGTTCAGATCTCATCACACTGAGTCAGTGGTGAAACATTTTAGAGACAAAATAATGAGTTTAAATCATAAAATGTTAGAAGGGCACAAGTTGATGTCTAAACTAGAATAAGAGAGCAAAGCTTTGCTCTGCTCTGCACAGCATTTGTTCTTACGTGGTTCTTTCAGGTTGTTTTTGTGCTCTTTAGGAAAATATCATCCAGAGCCTCCAGTGTAAAACATTTACAGGGTCCTAAGGCCAAACAAAGCTGCTTTATCCTTTATATCAGATGTYTGCAGACAGAAAACTACAAATTAATCCTTCCAAAAAGAACAATGACATGATGAGTGGTGTAAAATGTGAAAGGAGCAGCTGCTATTTTCTAAGCCTGTATGTCACACTGAATAATAAATTATACATTTTCACCAGGGAACATCAGAGGTTATGTTTGAGCTGTGACACTTTCTGCCTTTTAAAGYTCTTTGCATTTCTTATTTCACACTATTTTGTTCCTAAAACCACAGCACRCTGTTTGATCTTATAGCACTTTATTAAACTTGTATAAACTGATTGAATGAGGACATCATCAAGCAGCTGAATCTCTGATTGTCTCCCTGCAGAGGTTTCTGTCAGTAACCACTCTATCCTCGCTCAGTTCTGTAAGGACCACCATGTGGGGCTGGTTGTTGTCGGACCTGAAGCTCCTCTGGCAGCAGGTGACTCCTCCTCTTCAGTTCAGCTCGTCTCTYCCCTCCGAACCCTAACCCTGTGTTTGAGCTCCACCTCTGGCGTCTCTTCCAGGGATCGTGGAYGACCTGACGGCTGCAGGTGTGTCGTGTTTCGGTCCCTCGGCCAAAGCAGCTAAGCTGGAGGCCAGTAAGAGTTTCTCCAAGGCCTTCATGGAGCGTCACGGCATCCCCACAGCTCGCTACGGCTCCTTCACAGATCCCGAGGAGGCCTGCAGATACATCCGCAGGTCGTGTTCCCAGAACTACAGTACTACAACTTCAGTGTCCTTGGGTGTCCTGAAAGGCGCTTTATAAATAAAATGCATTATTAACTACAGGCCCTTCTCAAAAAATTAGCATATTCTGATAAAGTTCATTATTTTCTGTAATGTACTGACAAACATTAAACTTTCATATATTTTAGATTAATTGCACACCAACTGAAGTAGTTTGAGCCTTTTATTGTTTTAATATTGATGATTTTGGCAAAAAAGTAAAGAAAAACCAAAAATCCCTATCTCAAAAAATTAGCATATTTCATCTGACCAATAAAACAAAAATGTTTTTAATACAAAAAAAGTCAACCTTCAAATAATTATGTTCAGTTATGCACTCAATACTTGGTGAGGAATCCTTATGCAGAAATGACTGCTTCAATGCAGCGTGGCATGGAGGCAATCAGCCTGTGGCACTG